TGAAAAACCCCCCAAAAAAAAAAAAAAAAAAAAAAAAACAGCGGTGGTATGGAGGTTAAGGTGGTGGACTTCCACATGGCCAACTATGGTTTGAGTCCTGGACCTGGTGACTTGCTTCCTCACTTTCCCTCTCTCTTTCTCTTTCACCAAATTAAAAATAATAAATAAAATTAAATAAATAATTCTTTACAAACAAAAAAAGCGTGTTTGTGAGAAGAGTCCATTTTCTTCAAGGGAAATGTCTGTCCCTTCCCATGGCCTTCAAAAGACAATAAACAACACTCATTGTCATGACTTTTTGACAACCCAATATAATGATGTTTTCAAAAAGTGAGAGAAAGCAAACCACCACCTCAACAATAATCTCACCAGGTTTCATCATGACACCAAGTCTTTATTCAGAAAATTAGCAGTTAGGCCCAGCCACAGTGCACAGGCCATAGAGCACCGCTGTACAATACTGGAGCCACTTGGAAGGCCCAGGTTCGGATCCCTGCTTGACCTGAACATGCTAGGCACACCTGCAGGTGCCTGTAATCCTGGCTAGCTGGAAGGCTGGGAAGAGGATCACAATTTGGCAAGACTCTATTGGGTATATCTGTGCCTCTTTCTCTCATTGAATGAATGAATAGAATTTTAATTGGCACTTCAATGGAAAAGAGTAGGTATTTATCTTGTCTTTCCTGTACAAACTATATCACAGAGGATTAAAATAACTCTAGCTGATGAGAAAAAAATTCTCTTTCTATATTAAAAATACCAGCTAATAAAGGAAAAAAGACAGAAACATGTAAATATTATTTTGCAGCCCAGAGAAAAAACAATTCAATTCATAGTTACTAGCAGATGACACCATTAGAAGAGAGGTCGATGGAGAACTCTACAGTGAAGGAGATGAGGCTGTTATATCCTGACTCATTCATTAACTCACTAAAAATGGAATACCCAGACATCGTGTGCTTCCTGATGAAAAACAACGCAATGCTCCCAGCATCATGTCTGAGGTATTTTTACTCCCAAAATTGGATTGGAATCTAACTCAGACAAGAATGAAATAGAATGAAATTTTACTCTAAGACATGTAGGAACAAGTGAAGTGACATTAGAAGAAAGCAAAGAAACAAATCCAGCATGGGGGACATTCTGCAGGCCAGCCGACCCAGCTACTGAACAAGTCAATGGCATGGTGCAGAAAGGAGGGGAAGTATGGGGATTGATCTATTAGAGATCCAAGAGACTTTGCACACCTAGTTTGGGTCCTGATTCAAAGAATTCTTTTTTTTTTATTTTTTGGTAATAATTAGAACATTTTATAATGGGCTTGGTACTGGATACAGAGAAAATACTGCCAATTTTTGCTAGTTTTTTTTTTTAATTTATTCATTGATTTCCATGAGTGTGAGAGAGAGAGCAGCATTTCCAGTCCCTCCTAACCTCAACCAGCCCCAGATCTTAGGCACACGAGTGCACCACATTCTCAGGGAGGTCTCCAGGTACGGACTGGCAGCCTCCCGTGTGGCTCTGCCGCACAGAGCACTGCGCCTCACCACTGAGCCACTCTCGGGCCACCTCGCTTGCTCTCCATGGCATTGTAGTTTTGAAAGAAAAGTGTTTATAATTTTTAGCAATGCACACTAAATGCTTTCAAATACTTTAACAAAGAAAAATAAGGAACAGGTTTAAGCAAAGAGGTGAAAAATCTTGATAACTGCTGAAGCTAGAAATGAATATACAAGGATCTTTTCTATGTATTCCTATTTTTGAATAGTTTGTCCATTTTCTAACATGTAAAGAAAACCAGAAACAATTCGAGGACACTGGCATGCTTCTCGAAATCTGGGTTATAGGAGCTGAGATCATCCCGAGTGTGTGATTTCAGCAATCCTGTGTAAGACGGCCTGATCCTACCCCGTGCCATGCCCTCAAGTGCCCTCTGTGACCAGGCGTAGCTGAACCTCAACTTTCTTTGTGTAGATTTTCCTCACTCTGATCTCCTGTAAGGAAGTGCATAAAGCAAAGCTCTCATACGTCTCTCAAAACTGAGTAGTAGTTTTCTAGTAGCTAAAACTTAACTCCTAATTTAGAGAGAAAAAAGAAAAAGGTGTGAAGCAACTATCTTCAGGAAGACAATGCCGACCTGAAAAAGCATTCTTTACATCATTATGGGGAAAGATTTAGCTATGTGGAGCCCCTCCAGTCCCTCGCCACAAAAGGTACTTTGCTCAGGACCAGCAATTAGCGTAATGGTTATGTCACTGAACTCCCATGTAGCCGACTGTGGTTTGAGTCCCAGACCTGGTGGCTTAAACTCACGCCACGTGTGTATGCGTTTGCGCCCAAGATCCCGAGAGGAGAATGGAGGAGAACGGATTGCGGCATAGCCATACCCCCTGGGGGGGG